TTTTTAGATAATCACCACATACCAATGGTAACATAAAAGTAGAATATCAAATTAAAATGGTATATTTTATCAAATATACCATTCTACCAAAAGTAGAATATCAAATAATATCAACATAAAATTCAACATATTTTTAATGTTCTGTTGGCCATGTTTGCTTTTGAGAAATGCTTCCAGTTCATTTGCTCATTTTTTAAATTGATAACTTGTTTGTTTTTGCTGTGGCGTTCCTTACATATTCTGATCATTAATTTCTTGTTAGATAGATAGTTTACAAATATTTTCTCTCATTTTTTAGGTTGTCCCTTTACACTGTTGCTTGTTTCCATTTCCGTATAGAAGCTTTTTATCTTGATATAATCCCTTTGGCCTATTTTGGTTTTTGTTGCCTGTGCACTTGAGGTCTTACCCCTTGCAAAAAAATCTTCACCCAGAACAATGTCCTGAAGCTGTTCCCCAATATTTTTTTCTAGTAATTTTGTAATATCTGGTCTTAGATTTAAATATTTTATTTTTATTTGATTTTTGTATATTATGAGAGATAGGGGTATAGTTTTACTCTTCTGCATATGGATATACAGTTTTCCCAGCATCACTTATAGAAGAGACTATTCTGTTCACAATACATATTCTTGGCACCATTGTAAAAAATGAGTTGGCTATAAATGTATGGATTTATTTCTGGGTTCTCTGTTTTATTCATCTGTGTGTCTGTTTTTATGCCAAAACAATTCTGTTTTGATTACTATAGCTTTGTAGTGTATTTTGATGTCAGGTGGTATCATGTCTACAACTTTGTGCTTTGCTCAGGATTGCTTTGGTAATTTGGGGTCTTTTGTGGTTCCTTACGAATTTTAGAATTTCACTTCTATTTAAGTGAAGGATATCATTGGCATTTTGATAATTATATCAATAAATCCATAGAGAGCTCTAAGTAGCAGGGACACTTTAAAAAATATCAATTATTCCAATTCATGAACATGGGATATCTTTCCAATTTTCCCTTTCCTCTTTAATTTTCTTTCATTTTTTTAAACTAGTCCAAGTGGAATTGGCTTTTTTATTTTTTTAATGTTGTTCACTTGGCATATAGAAATGCTATTGAATATTGTATGTTTATTTTGTATTCTGCAACATTGCTTAATTCATTTATCAGTTTTAAGTTTTTCTGGAGTCTTTAGGGTTATTCTAAATATAAGTTTATGTTGTCTGCAAACAAGACTAGTTTATTTCTTGCTTTCCAATTTTGCTGCTTATTTTTTTTTCTCTTGCTCTTGTCTACTTGCTCTGGCTAGGACTTCCAATATGTTGAATAAAAGTGGTGAAACCAAAGGGCACCCTTGGTTTGTTCTAGATCTTAGAGAAAATGTTTAGCTGGGGTTTTTCCTATATGGCACTCTTGGTTTGTTCTAGTTCTTAGAGAAAAGTGTTAGCTGGGGTTTTTCATATATGGCCTTTGTTGTGCTGAAGTATGTTTCTTCTTTACCCAGTTTGTTGAGAGATTTTTATCATGAAGGAATGTTGAACACTAGCAAATGCTTTTTCTGCATCTGTTAAAATGATACTGTTTTTGTCCTTTATTCTGCTGATGTGTTGTATCACATTTATTGATTTCCTCATGTTGACTGTTCTTGCATTACTGCGATAAATACCACTTGATCATGATGTATTATCTTTTTGATGTGTGGCTAGGTTTTGTTTGCTGTTATTTTTTTGAGAAATTTTTGCATTTATGTTCATCAGTGTGATTGGTCTGTGGTTTTATTTCTTTGTTGTGTCCTTGTCTCATTTTGGTATCAGTATGATGCTGGCCTCAGAGAATGACTTAGGCAGAAATTCCTCTTCAGTCTTTTGAAATCCTTTGAGAACAATTGGTATTCTTCTTTAAAAGTTTGGTGGAATTCAGGAGTAAAGCCATCTGGTTCTGGGCTTTTTATGTTGGAAGACTTTTTTATTATTGATTCCATGTAATTAGTCGATTTATCTGTTCAGGTTTTCTACTTTTTTGATACTATATTTTTATGAATTATTTATTTATTTATTTATTTATTTTATTATACTTTAAGTCCTGGGGTACATGTGCAGATTGTGCAGGTTTGTTACATAAGTATACACGTGCCATGGTGGTTTGCTGCATCCATCCCCTGGTCATCTACATTAGCTATTTCTTCTAATGTTATCCCTCCCTGCAATCCCCCAACCCGCTGCTATGCCTTCATTAGACCCCTCCACCCCACGGCAAGGACTTCCTGACTGAAACACCAAAAACAATGGCAACATAAGCCAAAATAGACAAATGGGATCAATTAAACTTAAGAGCTTCTGCACAGCAAAAGAAACTATCATTAGAGTGAACCAGCAACCAACAGAATAGGAATAAATTTTTGCAATCTACCCATCTGATGAAAGGCTAATAACCAGAATCTATGAAGAACTTAAACAAATTTATAAGAAAAAAACAACTCCATCAAAAAGTAGGTGAAGGATATGAACAGACACTTTTCAAAGGAAGACATTTATGCACTCAACAAACATATGAAAAAAAGCTTATCATGGCTGGTCATTAGAGAAATGCAAATCAGGTTTTTTACTTCCTGGTTCAATCTTGATAGGTTATTTGTGGCCAGTAATTTGCTCATTTCCTCTAAGTTTTTCAATTTGTTGGTACAAAGTTGTTTATAATAGTCTCTAATGATGCTCTGTAATTCTGTGGTATCAATTCTATTGTTTCATTTTTTTTATTTTTATTTGTGTGGTTTTTTTTTCTAGCTGACAATTTGTTGACTTTATCTTTCCAAAGAACCAATTTTTTGTTTCCTTTTTAAAATATTTTAAAATTTCAAGTTCATCAAATTTGCTCTGATCTTTATTATTTCTTTCCCTGTACTAAGTTTGGATTTGGTTTGTTCTGAGTTTTAATCCTTCAAGTTATACCATTACATTGTTTATTTGAAATCTTTCTACTTTTTTGTTAGAGGCACTTATTGCTATATAATTCCCTGTTAATAATGCTTTTGCTGTGTCCCATGGATTTGGGTGTTGTGTTTTCATTTTAATTGATTCAAAAATTTTTCATTTCCTTCTTATTTCATTGACTTATTAATAAGGGCATGTTATTTAATTTCCATGTTTCTACAGTTTTCAGTGTTCCTCTTATTGATATCGCATTTTATTTCATTTTAGTTTGAGAAGATAACTGATATGATTTTGACTTTTTAATATTTGTTTAGACTTATTTGTGGCCTAATATGTGATATTCCATGTGTCAAAGAGAAGAATGTGTATTCTGTACTTGATCTTAGCCGAAAGGCCAAGAAGTGATGAGAATGTATATTCAGTAGTTGTTGGAGGAAATGTTCTGTAAATGTCTGTTAGGTTCATTTGATATCCAGTGCAGTTTAAGTTTAATGTTTCTTTGTTGATTTTCTGTCTAGATGATATCCAGTGCTGACAATGAGATGTTGAGGTTTCCAACTACTGTTGTAAGGGGGACTCTCCCTCTCCTTAGCACTAATAATAATTTCTGTTTATAACTGGGGTTCTCTAGGGTTAGCTTTGTATATGTTTATAATTGTTATATCCTCTCTCTGGATTGATCTCTATATCATTATATAATAATCTTTTTGTCTTCTTTTTTTAAATTGAAAGTTTATTTGTCTATTGTAAGTATAGCTATTTCTGAACTCTTAGTTTCCATTTGTGTGCATAATCTTTTTTGATTCATTTGCTCTATGTGTGTCTTTACAGGTAAAGTGAATTTCTCATAGGCATCGTTCAGTTGCTTCTTGTTTTTTTTTTTTTTTGAGACCTGTTCAGTCTATCTATATCTTTTAATTCAGGAATTTATACCACTTACATTCAAGATTGTTATTGATAGATAAGAACTTGTTCTTGTCATTTTGTCTTCTAATTGCTTTGTCTGTGTTATTTTCTTTCTATGTTATTTCTTAGTTTTGTAATGTGGTGGCTTTTTATATTCACAAAATTTGATTTCTTTCTTCTTTTCATTTGTGTGTCCCCTCGTCCACTGTGTTTTTGATATGGTTTGGAAGTTTGTCCCTTCCTACCATGTTTACAGGTTTCTAGCAGGGACATGTGCTTCTGGAACTAGATTTCACTCACAAAACTTCAGTCCTAGTAGTTGATTTTAGTTCATCAATCCGAATCACTACTTTCTAACATAAATTACCCCTTAATAACTTTCAGGTATTTTTCCTATTATTAAACATGATTAGCAGTTTCTAAATCCAACAAAAAAGTCAAATTATGTAAAAACTCAAATGGAAAAGTACCCAATTTTACTTCTCGTATTTCTGCAAATTTAATCATATCCTAAGCTACAAGGTCCACATGCTAAGAGGACCTAAAAGGGCATGTTTTCCTCAGTCCACAAGGTACCTTATTATTTTCCATCACTGATGCTTACTTAGTTTATAATTAAATAACCTAAAAATTGCATTAAAATATTTCTGAATGAGTCAAAGAGTTTCTGTATTATAATAATTTCCTGTGATTATGAAGATCACCATTTTTAAGTTCCTAGGTGAAAAAAATGTTATGTTTCATCTTACCAGGTATATCAATGTGATTCAATGTAAACTTTAAAGTCATGTTATTATCATGACTTTAATTCTGTAGGATGTTTTAATTTTGCATTAGAGATAACATTGTATGGGAAATGCATTGTTAAAGTATTGTGAGGCATCAGTTTGTGCCACAACTTTGTTATTACCTGGATATGTGGTCTTGGTCAAATCACTAAACATCTCTATGACTCAGTATGCTAAGGCTTATATGATTGCTAACAGATCTTCCACTCCTAAGTTTGGTGATTTGGCAGTTCAGACATTTCACTGTAACTTTTATTCATTAATAACAAAGGCCAACTAATCTAATACACACACACACACACACACACACACACACACACACACACCTACCTCACATTCCTATGTAAGGATTACCTTGCAAAGTATTTTTAAATCTGTTTATTTCCATAGAGACTGATATAGAAAGCTTGAAGGGTGCTTTGGGAAGACGCTTATTAAAGGATGAATTCAAGACACAGTTAAAGAGTTTTCCTGGTAAGAAAAATATTTTCAAGTCTAATATTTCTCATTTATTTTTGTCCTTTAAAGTTTAAGTGTGTATCTTGAATAGCAAGTGCACCCATTTGTTAATATGATATGGGCACAGGTTCTCATGAATACCCTCCCATATTTGGTTGTACTCTAGAACATATTTACTACAAATGTAAAGCTAGCTAGATATTATTACTTTTAGGACTCATCCACTTAGAAAGTAATCCAAAATAATATACTATAGTGAGCTTAGAATATATTGGGACAAGTATGTCCAAAGCTCTTCTAGTCCCTTTCCATTTACAGTTTAAATAGAAAGTTACTTTAAATTTGCAAAAGCAGAAAGGCTTTCTGATGAGTGCAGTAAGTAAAGGAAAAGGACAGTTATTTTATTATTACCAATTCCGTCTATACTTTAAAATATCAGGCATAGTAATAATATTTCAGCGATGGCAGAATCCTTTAGTTGTGTAATATAGTTCAGAGATTATACTACTGCCTTTAGTACAGAAGTAGCAGTGCTAGGCAAAACACCCTTTGATCTCCGGTGTGATACAAAGGAAGGCAGACAGGTTAACAGAGAAATAAGGAAAAGACATATTCAAAGGGAGACTCTCTAAAACCACTGTCATCCAAAGGTGATTGCTGCATGCCCAATGCTGTTTTATTGGAGGAATAACATTAGAGGCTTCACATTGCAGGATGTATTGAACCATTCTTGCATTGCTATAAAGGAATACCTGAGACTGGGTAATGTATAAAGAAAAGAGGCTGTACAGCGCAGGGAAGACCGCGTTCCAGCGGCCTGCGGGGCAGCTCTGCGGCCTGGGCCCAAAGCGCGGATCATCCCCCAGTGAGCAGCCGTGGCCGACGCTTGCGAGGCAGGGGGCGTAGGCAGGGAGGGGCAAGTGCGGCTGAGCCGGGGCAAGCGCGGTGGAGGCGGGGCCCGGGCCGGACCCGCCCATCCGCCTGGGGAGCCTCCGGCAGTGGCCGAGGAGGCAGCAGGTGGCCGGCAGCTGGAGAGTAGCGCTGGCGCTGTGTCCCGCGGGACAGCACTGCGACCGCCTGGGCCACCCGGAGGAGTGCTTGCTGCCCGCTTCCGCGTACCAAGCGAGGGTTTGAACGTGATTTCTGATGAAACCAAATTGGAATAATTTTCATGATCTGTGTGTGTGTGTGTGTGTGTGTGTGTGTGTGTGTATAGTTTTTTTTTTTAATTTTGCATTTGACTTTAAGTGTCACGAGAAAATTTGCATACCGCAAGGTGGTCCTAGCCACCTCCTTGATTTGGGTACTCTTGGACATGTTCCTGCTGCTTTACTTCAATGAATGCAGCAAATGTGATGAAAAAAAGGAGAGAGGACTCCCTGCTAGTGATGTTCTAGAGCCAGTACAAAAGCCTCATGAAGGTTCTGGAGAAATGGGGAAACCAGTCGTCATTCCTAAAGAGGATCAAGAAATGTTGAAAGAGATGTTTAAAATCAATCAGTTCAATTTAATCGCAAGTGAAATGATTGCACTCAACAGATCTTTATCAGATGTTAGGTTAGAAGGGTGTAAAACAAAGGTATATCCAGGTAATCTTCCTGCAAGTGTGGTGATTGTTTTCCACAATAAGGCTTGGAGCACACTTCTGCCAACTGTCCATAGTGTCATTAATTACTTACCCAGACACCTGATAGAAGAAATTGTTCTAGTAGATGATGGCAGTGAAAGAGACTTTTTGAAAAGGATTTGAGAGAGTTATGTGAAAAAACTAAAAGTACCAGTTCATGTAATTCGAATGGAACAACGTTCTGGATTGATCCGAGCTAGATTAAAAGGAGCTGCTGTGTCTAAAGGCCAAGTGATCACCTTCCTGGATGCTCATTGTGAGTGTACCGTGGGGTGGCTGGAGCCTTTCTTGGCCAGGATCAAACATGACAGGATAACAGTGGTGTGTCCTATCATCGATGTGATCAGTGATGATACTTTTGAGTATGGCACGCTCTGATATGACTTATGGTGTGTTCAACTAGAAGCTCAATTTTCACTGGTATCCTGTTCTCCAAAGAGAAATGGGCAGAAGGAAAGGTGATCAGACTCTTCTTCTTAGAACACCTACCATGGCAGGAGGCCTTTTTTCCGTAGACAGAGATTACTTTCAGGAAATTGGAACATATGATGCTGAAATGGATATCTGGGGAGGAGAAAACCTAGAAATTTCCTTTCTGATTTGGCAGTGTGGAGGAACTTTGGAAATTGTTACATGCTCACATGTTGGACATGCGTTTTGAAAAGCTACACCTTACACATTTCCAGGAGGCACAGGGCAGATTATCAATAAAAATAACAAATAGTTTGCAGAAGTGTGGATGGATGAATTCAGGAATTTCTTCTATATAATTTCTCCAGATATTACAAAGGCAGATTATGGAGATACATCATCAAGAACTGGTCTAAGACACAAACTACAATGCAAGCCTTTTTTTTTTTTTTTTTTTTTCTGATAATATTTTTTTTTTTTTTTTGGTACTTAGAGAATATTTATCCTGATTCTCAAATTCCATGTCACTATTTCTCAATGGGAGAGATGAGAAGTGTGGAAATAAATCAGTGTCTAGATAACATAGCTAGAAAAGAGAATGAAAAAGTGGGCATTTTTAATTGCCATGGTATGGGGGGTAATCAGGTTTTCACTTATACTGCCAACAAAGAAATTAGAACAGACAACTTTTGCTTGGATGTTTCCAAATTTAATGGCCCAGTTACAATGCTCAAATGCCACCACATAAAAGGCAACCAACTGTGGGAGTATGACCCAGGGAAATTAATCCTAAAGCTTGTGAACAGTAATCAGTGCCTACATAAAGCCATAGAAGAGAATAGCCAGGTGCCCAGCATTACAGACTGCGGTGGAAGTTGGTCCCAGCAGTGGCTTCTTTGAAATATCACCCTGCAAGAAATATTCTGAGACCAAATTTTTTTAAAAATGAAAAAAATGAGGATTGACTAGGGTACCTCAGCATACATTTCTGCCACATTCTTAAGTAGCAAAAAAGGAAAAGTGCTTTCCTCCTCTGCAGGATGTAATGTTTATCAGCTACTAAAACTTAGACTTCTCTAGCTTTTCACTAGCAATGAACAAACCTTCCTGTCAATGGACGTGAACCTGCATAGTAATCAGACTGTGCACACTGATATTTACAAGATTGAAAGAATCTTTCTCCAAAAATCATGGCAAAGAATATTGAGACAATAAAAAAATCAACAAAATATGCTTTCTGGAGAACTATACCTTTTATGGTTTGCTTGCACATCAGTAATTTCTGCTGCACGTGCTGTCATAATGAAGAGATGTCCAAGATTTTTTCCTCATTAGAACTTGTAGCCAGTATATTAAATATTGATATAAAAATAAATGAAAAGAACTGGAACCAGATACAGAATCATGAAAACAACATTTTTTACAACAGCAGCAAACTATATTAAACAGGGTTTAAAGGAAATTAGAACTATGAGAAGTACAATTTGTTAGAGTATCAAATTTCTATATAGATTTTATACCTCAGTGGGGAAAAATAACTGATTCCAATGACATTCGTTTTGTTTTTATCTGTGATAGTCATGGATGCTTTTATTTTTCTTGGGATGCTGAAATTGAGCTGAAAAAAAAAAGGGCTCTTTGAATGTAGTTTTAATTTCTCTCTACAGTTTTTTTCTTTGGTTTGTGGGCTGTTGGAATTGTAATTTTTAATTGCCTTCTAAAAAAATGGGAATTTAACATAATGTCTGGCCTCAACTGAACAAATTAAATGTTTCAGTTGCTCTTGGGTTAACTGGCTTATAGATTTACGTGTGCATACACACACACACAAATTTCTTATCACATTTTAAACTTCTTAACTTGACCCACCTGATTATGCTTAATACCTAAGATCCACACTACTTTACCACAGATTTGTTTTCACAACAATAAATCTTCACTTCTTTGTTTATGATTCCACTTAAAAAAAAAAAAAAAAAGAGGCTGTACAAGCATAGTGCCAGCATCTACTTGTCTTCTGCAGAGGCTTCAGGGTGCTCTTACTCATGGCAGAAAGTAAAGCAGGACAGGCATGTTACATGTCAAGAGCAGGAGCACAAGCAAAAAGGGGGAAGGTGCCACACACTTTTGAACAACTGGATCTCAGAAGAACCCATATACTATTGTGAGAAAAGCACCAAGCCGTGGAGAGGGATCTGCCCTTGTGACACAAACACCTCCCACCAGATCCTACCTCCAACATTGGGGATTGCATTTCAACATGAGATTTAGACAGGAAAAACATACAAACCACATCACAGGGGAAAGGAGCTTCAGTAAATAATCAAGACAAATCACAGGTCAAATAAATAAGCAAACAGTAATAACATGCTTCAGGAAGAAGAGGAGAAAATCAAAATCAAGAGTTGCTACATTATATGTCTAAATTGTTCAGCTTTTAGCATAAGATTTTGAGTTATTCTAGTAAAGAAGAAAGTATGACCCATATAAGAAAATTAGGCAACAAAAACAGCTTATGAGAATCCTAGCTGTTGGACTTAGCAGACATTGACTACAAGGTAGTTACTATAAATATATTGAAATAAATAAAGGAAACCATTCTTTAAAAAGAAAAGAAAGGTATTATGACAATGTTTTATCAAACAGAAAATATAAAGAGATATAAAATATTTTACAAAGACTACATGGAAATTGTTGTGTTAAAAAGTACAAAAACTGGAAGTAAACATTTACTGGAGAGGCTCAAGTACATTTGAACTGTCTGAAGAAAGAATAAAAAACTTAAAGTATCACAAACACTAGAAAGAAAGCAGAGAGAAGGAGGATGTGGATGAAAACTTTTCAAAAAAATATTTAATGATAAATGAGTCTACAAATCCAATCTCAATTACTTCCAAGTAGAATAAACACAAGGAAATCTATAACCACACTCATAGTAACAATGTTGAAAGACAAAGAGAAAGCAGCAAGAGAAAAC